GGCCAAAATTATTACGTTATTGGCTGTTATTACATTATCGGTTGCTACAGGGGGTCAGTGAAAGTATTTGACCACAACATATACATCATGTTCAGACACTTCTGGGAAACTCTAAATACATTAAGATGGAATTATACACAAAGAGGCAGACAGGGTAAGAGTCCCAGAGCCAGGGCGCGAACTTTAACTCCTCACCTTATTCACTCCTTGTTAATCTGTGTGTGCGTGTCACATAAACTGAAAGCACAATCAGGCTGGTTTAGTTCAAGTTCAAGTGTACTTTTGTCTAACTGCTCTGATTGTTTGACAAGCAGTCTTAACTCAAGGTCTTCCTACTGACTTTTATTCTACTGGCAGAATCAGTTTAAGAACAAATAAAACACTGATAGATAGTTTAAGATGAGAAAAACAGAGAAAAGTAACTCTAAGATATTAAAATTACTACATTATTCCTGTATTAAGCACTTATCTTTGAGGGTTTTAATCAGATACCCAGAGGCCTCCTACAGCGGTGGTGCCCATATATATATACATTCCAAGGGGTTTGAACCTGTTATCTAATGTCAGTAAGATAAGATGTTTTTTTATTAAGCATAAGTGTCTGATCCTGTAATCAACATGCTGGCTCCATTGTTTGTGTGCTGTGTGATTTTCTTTGACCTGAAAGGAGCCATCTGCTGTCCCACTGCCGCTTCTGTGGCTGTCAGTCAGACTGGAGGAGACGAGGAATTAATCAAGCCAATTACTCCCGTGAGGAGATCTAGGTGAGCTCTGTGACGTTGCATTAGAGGAGCTGAGCCAATGATGCCCTGATAGAGAGGGTAACTGTAAATCAGAGGTAAATATTAAAAACAAAAAGTTGATGCTGGTTGTCACAGTAGGGTAACATCATCAATGATCAATCTCTACAATCTGTACAATAAGAATAAAGATGGTGGGGCAGTGAGCGGGTGCCAAAAAGTCAAGAGTCTGACAGGAAAAGAGGTGTGGTCTTCCAAGAAAAACACAACAAAGCTGAAGGAGGGAGGAGAGGAGGAGAGAAAAGAGAGGTAGAGACAATGAAGGAGGGATAGAAAGCGTTGAGCAGTAAATCTCTCTCAATCTCATCAGTGTGCGAGGTCGACTTACTCACTACAACAAGTTCACAGCTGCACTCACAGGGACTCCGAGGTAAGGCGCTTTTTCAAATGTTCATTTAACTAGAACTGTGTGTTAATGTTGTTCTTATTTTAATTCATTAGTTTAAATGATTTCAGTGAGATGTAACGAAGAGGCCACTTAAGAACTACAGTGGGGTTCATTATTTATACGTTTAGAGGCAAATAAAACCACACCACACAGGGCAGAAAAAACAATCTTGTTAAAAATATTATTATACTAGAATATCATTAAAATATGCCATGAAATAACTTTGTATTTAAAACAGTGTAACCTGCTCAGTTTGCATAATGAATCTAGTAACAGGTGTTTTGGGATTGTTGATGTCTCTTACTGAAAGCATTTTATTATTATTATTTTATTATTCTTTCTGCAGTAACTCAGGCAGTTGAGACATCCCCAGTGATGTGGTTGTCTGTCACATCTGACTGAATTTCATTAAAAGACAAAGTAAGAGGGATGATGAATGTAAATGTACATTAATTTGGCTCTATTCACCCCAATACTGATGGAAAATAGAGTTAGATTTATAGATAATTTATGTGGTGGTTTCTTCTTCTAACAAAAATGAAGGGATCTTAAATAATTTAACATTAGAATTAATTCAAACATATTTTGTTCGATGGATATTTAAGGTAAATGCTTCAGAAGGGTTCATTTCCAAAGAAACATTTTTATTTATTTTCCTAACTAAAGTTTGTTTGTTTTTTGCTTTTATTTCTGGGTTAATCTATTAACTGTTGATTGGTTATTTTGATATCTCAAATTCTTTTCAGAATAATTCAAGAGAATATCAAACTGCTGTTGGTTTATTCATTTTAATATCTTCATTTAAATATCTCATATTTGAAGCTGGCCATGACAATATAGTATGGGTGGACGTGATAACAGTGTCACTATGTTTCTTAAGAGAAAAACAAATATTAAAAAAAACACCTGCTTTCACCCAAAATGGACAATGTGACAACTAATGTACTAAAAAATTTAAATGTTTCCTCTGATAATTAATTCTGCATCTTGAATTATTCTTAATGTAGGGGTATATTGTACACGCACCAACTACACTATTTATTTAATATATAAAAGCACATACAAAAGATAATATACTGCATAATAAAGCAGCAATGAACTGATAATCTATATGGATTGTAAATGACCAAATGTCTGCTGTTTTGGCGTCACACAGGTTTTAGTAAATAGGCATTAAAACACAAAACATAACAAAGACTAGCAAGTGTGAACTCAATGTAACTAATGTGATTTACAAGGAAAAAGACTTCTCTTAAACTTTGTGTCTCAAACTCTGGGAGAACCAACCACTTGCCAGAGAAAATGATGTTGACATTGATTCTGTAATGCACCAGATTATTATAGTTTAAAACGCCATCCGTTATCCAAAAAATCTGTTTGTTTCCAAATAGAGGGCGCTTTATTTTGTCAGAGTCAACTGTATTTTAATCACAGGTCTAACTGCAGTTGTCAGTTTTTAATTTGGCTCTAATCGCACTACTTAAATATCTACCTTGACCATATGGTGCAGGGATGGTGCACAACCCCAGTGTTCACCATGGATTACCGCACACACGCACACACACACACACACATACACACACACACTGAGGAAGCCCACTTATCTCTGGCTAAGGTAGCACAACAACTGCTTGTAATTAGGTTAATTGAGTGACCTGTGGGTGGTAATAAACTTAGGGCTAAACTGTGGAGATTGGGTGTGACACGGTTCTGTACCTCGACCATCTGTCTCTCCTCTAAGCCCCGTAAATCACAGCAGGAACTGCAGACACAGAACAGGTTTCAGTTCAGAGGTTGTTTCCCCTTTATAATGATAAGAACATTATTACAAAGAGGATTCTCAATTTAAAAAACAAGGAATTATTGTTCTCCAGTTCCTGCAGCTCAGTAAATAATTAATAGCTTCTAAGGAGATTTCTATGAAGCAGACATGATCTTTGTCATATGTCAGACTATATATGTAAGTGTTTCTTCACTCTGTTTCATTATTGATAAAATACAGTGAATCATGTATGAACCATCAACACAAACACACACACACACTGTAGAGGCTGGTCGCTGCGAGCAACAGGTGGTCAGCGAGGTTTAGCCGCCACATCACGTGCATGCCATTTCCAAATGCCGACCCCGTATAATGAGAGTTATGTTACAGCGCTCAGTGAGGTCAACAAGCCTTTATGATATAGACACAGGGAATATAATATGGACAACACTCAGTGTAATGTTTAGTGATCATTTCAGGATCCAGAGTATATTTCCATGTCTTAAATATGTAATTTTAACTTATTATTAGTCCCCTATACAGTTTTTATCATCATCCTTGAGGTCAAAGACTTAAATAATCACCAAATTCAACTCATTTATTTGTTTATTTAAATAAACAATTAAATGGGTTTTAAAAAATAATTGGGTTAAGTGGTTTGTTGCTCCACAATGTAGCCTTCATTTCCTTCCAGGAAGTCAAAACAACCAAAGTAACTCACACTAAAGGTTCCAATAAAAGTGTCATCGGCTGGTTCGGTCAGGATGTCACACCTCTGATTTGGACTAATCCTTGTCTGGACAGGCGCTGGCACATGCCTGTGCCATGTAAGGTTACTGGTCAGACAGACCAGACCGGGGACGTCACGCTGAGGCGTTCATCCCCCATCACCTCCTGCTGAGATCTGAAGACCTTCATATTTGTCAGCCAGGTCTAAAAGTGTCTCTTCTCACTGTCCCTATTGTTCAACAGACCTGACACAAACTACAATGTGTATACAAATAATGGGAACTGGAATAAAATATATGATAGACCTGAAAATATAATGCAATGCAGAACAACACAACCACCACAAACTACAGCCTTATAGTCTGACAGCATCTAAACAAAAAGATGAACTGCCTTGTTGTACAGGTGTTTATATTATTGTGTCCACCCTCTGTGGATGCTGCTATCAGCCCTTTATCTAAAATCTGATGTTTTGTTTTACAGGTTTATTCTATTCCTGAGTGACGGAGAGACAGAGAGAGAGAAGGCGACATCCAGAGTAAAATAAATTCCTTTGTGTGACAAAGAAAACATTTGAACACAAAACTGATTTCCATTTGTTCCTCACAAAAAAGTGGATACTCATGGGAATCTTTGTTATAGTGCTCCCTGATGTCTCCTTCACAACAACAAAGAAGTCAACACAACCTTTACTTCAACTGGCATCACACATTTTGAAGTGAAGCCAAGCTCCTTAGTCTTACTGGCTGAACTGTGGATGGAGATCATGAGGAACTCTCAGTCTCTACACCTGTTCCTTGTTCCCATTTTGTTTTCTTTACTTTCACTCTTCTGCCCTGCATCTGCCAGTTCAGGGTCTGAGTATGACTACGGAGCCCACCCACGTTTTGTTTGCACCCCTATTCCCATGGATGCAGACCCTGCCTGCTTCCCTGCAGCGGGTCCAAACGCAGGGGCAGCAGGGCCCAGCGGACCAGGCCATCAAAGTGCACCTCCTGCTGGCTGGTGGGGGGCGAGTGAAGAAGCCAAAGCCACCATCCTCCACCTCAGGGAGAGCCTTGTACAGCAGAAAGAGACCATCCTGGACCAGAGGGAGACCATTAGAGAGCTGACGGCCAAGCTCACCCTGTGCGAGGGCCTCGGACGGGGCGCGGCGCCTCACGACGAGCACCACAGCACGGCCTCGCACTCCCATCACACAGGGGTGGCCAGTCATCACACGTACACTGACAACGAGCACTATAGCAACCAGCAGGGTCACCATGGAAACGGCAACCTCATACCGGACTCACCTCACTACCCCTCTGCGGGGGGGCAACGATCTGATGGAGGACACAGCAGCCATGGGAAGGATAAACATGTGACACCAGGGGACATCACATCATCACCGGAGCAGATGGAGAGGATGCTGGTAGCGCTGAAGGACAGGCTGGACAACCTGCAGGTGAGCAGCACGAAGAGGGGGAAACTTTTAAAACTTTGTACTTGGAAGTAAAGATTAAAATTTAAAGAAAAGAGGAAGAAAACATAAAAAAATGAGATAAAAGTAAATATGATACAGTGGAGGGATAAAAAACTGAGAGCTGAAGGGAGCTTGTGATGCCCATATATGGCTTTTCCTTGTTTGGACACTTTAGTGCTGCCATCACCGGATTGTTTGTTGAATAATCAAGTCCCAGGGCAGTGTGACCACTAAGTACTTTAGACAAAGGAACAATGTATTACTTAATCGCATTAACCCACTCACTACATTAGAGAGAGTCACTCTGATGTCCCTCAGTGGACACCTCCGAGCAACAACAGGCTCAGAGGTGGACGCCACTGATAAGACACTCTTGCGTAAGGTTACAGTGGACCAACTGGGCACCTTCAAGTTTTGGTGGATGTCTTGATTTCTGTTTAGTCACTCACTCTTTTTACTATCTTGGTACATTTATCTGTCCTCCTCTGCTGTCTCTCCTCCTTGGATCATGATCACAGACAGATGTCAGGAGCTGTGGCGTGTGTAGGGGGGGTTTGGGACCATGGCATGGGTCTAACATCGGCAGTAATTATCGTGATCTCCCTTGACAGACTGATAATCAGGCCACGCACCGGGACAAAGCCTGGATTACCTGAGAGGAAGAAGAGCAGAGGCAGATACAGGAAGACATATAGACTAACAACATACTATATTAAAACTGAATTTGACTTTGGGAGATTATTAGTGGATGTAAGAGGTGCAGAAGACACACAAGAGCTCTCTGATGCTTGAAAGTGCCTCAGATTAGATCAGCAGATGCTCACATAAATCCTTGAGGCCAGTTTGTGCCAAAGAACCACTGATGTCTTTATCCTCTCTTTTGTAAAAAGTGACAGGAAACACTCGTTATCAAGACCTCACCTGTGTGTTTTTCCCCTCCCTTTAGCAGAAGAGGAACACATCCATCACCTACTCCAGCTCCCTGAAGGAGCTACTTCAGAGGAAGATCAGCGCTCTGGAGCAGCAGCTGCACCATCGCACCTCCGCCCTCAGCAGCCCGGACCATCACGACGACGACAGCAGCCACAGGGACAGCGGAGACCACCATGATGATGATGAGGATGATTATGATGATGATCACCACGACGACGGACACCACAATGACCACAAGGGTGACCACAACGATGGCGGTCACAGTGACGGTGGGAACCACCCCGACCATGACGACGACAGCAACAATGACCATCATGACGCAGATGGCGACAATGGCGACAATGACGACCACGATGACAGCCACCATGTTGATGATGATGATGAGGATGATGATGATGATGATGATGAGGGTGACCACCACAGTCATGAAGCAGACAGTCACAGTTACCTTCCACACACAGGATACAGAGCACCGGGGCCACATGTTGGTTTCCACTCAAACAAACTGGAAACGATACTCAACCAGCTGCACCTCGCAGGTACCCGACAGAAACTTTATAACATGAGTTTATATCAGAGTTATGTCCAGTTAATGAAGCAGTGTTTGGTATAAGTGTACGTGGGGAATTCTGTAACTGCGTGCTTTCCTAAAGAGAAAGGAAGAACTTGCAGTAAGTTTACCTCCATTTTTAGTACAAGAATCTATTTTTGTAATATAAATATTTATAATCTAATTGAATGGTCTATTTTTAAGATTATCTTCTAACATTGATAAAAGGGCCACAGAAACTGCTGTTAACAAAACAATCTGACGACCAAATCAGCTACTAAATGGACGTTTGAGAACTTTGATTGATTTGTAAACAGCCAAGGGCAAAAATAAACTTTGAATTTAAATATATTTTAAAACCAACATGTATGTGATGTTCTTAAATTACTCAAACATCAACTCATTCTGCTGAGGAAGCTCAGGATACGTTAGAAAGCTCCAGAACAGAACAAACTAAATAGACCTTAAAGGGAAATTTTTACCACTTTTTATGTGGATTTCCAGTCAGTGTTGATGATAAAGCTAGTCATGTTCCTCAGTGTGGCAGTGCCTACGCGTACCAGGATGCACTGCACACGAGCTACTTAGCTGCTGGGTGCTAATCAAAGTTACACGTTGCCAATCAAATGAATTCCTGCAGTTTGACCATTTCTTTTTAAACTTCAAGCCTCGAGCTGAAAAAGCCTGTAGTTCTTCCTTGACACAAACTACATCGCTGTACATCAAATGACACTGCTGGTGCAAGAAGAACAGATTTTGCAGCTATTTCTAATATATCTTAATGTAGCACATATTGACTAAATATATCATCAGCAGTGATTGAACCACATAAAATGTGGTATATTTCCCTTTAATGACATACCTTTAGGTTTTATCAACGTATGTTGTTATTTTTCTTCCAAAACAGGATCCAGTGGGAAGAAGAGTCCTGACGCCTTCCAGATCAGCTTCCCCATGAGAACCAACTACATGTACGGGCGTGTGAAGAAGACACTGCTACAGGAGATCTTCGCTCTGACTCTGTGTCTTTGGATCAAGGCGGGCGTGGGTCCCGGCCTGGGGACACCTTTTTCATACTCGGCACCCGGACAGGCCAATGAACTGGTGCTCATTGAGTGGGGGAACAACCCCATGGAACTGCTGATCGATGACAAGGTGAGGGAGAGTAACAGTGTGAAATACCCCGAAAACTCATTTCCCCAATCAGCTTCTTACTGTGAGTGACAGGATCCTACATAAACACACGTTTCTTTTTCCAGTTTTTGATTATTTCATACATATTTTTCCCTCTGTGCTCTTTTCAATAGTTAGAAAAAAGTTGATCAGGATTTAAAAACAGTTAAATCTTTGGTTGTTTGGTTACTAATCAAATCTGATCAATTCAGACCCACACAGTCCTCACAAAGCAGATTGGCTGAGTTTATTAATGTTGAACCCTTTAAAAATATATCTTTAAATATTATTTATCCAATTTGATTGTTACTTAATCATGAATATTTAATGTTAGAGGATTACTTTCAAATTTCAAAAAAGCCAAGTTGTCAGGGGGCACACGTGGTCGTCTGTACCTGCTCGTAACTTTACAGGAGGATGCAGTGGTGGGACAGCAGGGACTGCTGAGCTCCCTCTTAATGTGACCTTTAACGAGTCACTTAACATTTATTTTGTATGTTTTTAGAGGTTCATTGTGACTTAAACCTTTTAGTTAAATGGGAAGCAGATCTCACAGAGACATTTGCCCTGTTTAATAAAAGCTGCAACAACAGGATGTATTTATATTAGTGTCTCACCATCTTCACTATGTGACCCCCAGGCTGTGCCGCTCCCCCTGTCTCTGGGTGATGGGAAGTGGCACCACGTGTGTGTGACTTGGTCAACACGGGATGGACAGTGGGAGGCCTACCAGGACGGAGTGCAGAAGGGGTCCGGGATCAATCTTTCCCCCTGGCACCCTATCAAACCTGGAGGGGTCTTCATCCTGGGACAGGAACAGGTAAAGACAAAGAGATTTGTTCTCTGTGAAGATAAACTTTGCAGTCTAAGAAGATACCAATGTGTGAGTTCAATGGGAAGGAGCCATTAAATGCAGAAGAGGGGGAGAGTTGCTAGACAAATACCTGTTGTTAAATCCTTTTTTGGTTCTTAGTGGCATTAAGTTCTTGTATCTGAGCACCTATTTCACATATTAAATCGTTTGGGAAGCCTTTATCCAGTGTTTTCCCCTCGTCGACACTGACTGTTCTTTGTTCCCTCTTCTTCAGGACACTCTGGGAGGCCGTTTTGATGCCACTCAGTCATTTGTGGGTGAGATGTCGGAACTGCACATGTGGTCACATGTCCTGACTGCCAGTGACATCTACAGCCTGGCCTCCTGCGGCAGCCACCTCAGAGGGGACGTCATCGCTTGGTCCGAGGCAGAGGTGGAGCTTCATGGAGGCGTCTCCAAATACCCCTTCGACCCCTGTCACTGAAAGGAACACCAGTGAAGAACTTGGGAGATATCCTGGAAACGTACAGAGAACATTTATCACTTATTAAAAAAGGTGAAAGAAGGAAACAAAAGTCTCGTCGACTTTCAGGATGATCACTCAGTGGCACCAACTCCTCCAAACTCAGCATCAATGCCTTCCTTTAAACTTAATCAGTGACTTTTTTCTTAAAGAAGAAAAACAAAAACAATAACAAAAAAGGTCCAATTTGTGTTTACAGACACTTATGGTGTTGGCCTCTACTGTACTCATGAGCTGGTGTTTTATTTTAAACAGACAAATGCTGTATGTGACATATTGTCATATTGTTTATAAGACTGTGATACAGTTAGCAGACCTTACGTGGGTTCTGTTGTGGTGAAGTGACAAGCGTTGATACGTATGTTAGTTAGTTTTACTAAATGTGCTGAGAAATCCATTTGTAATCTTTTTTATAAATGTTTCCACGGGAGATACAGCTAATTTACCAAAGAAAATGTAGAAATTGTCTTGTGTTATATGATCTGTGTGAAATAGATAGATTGGTGTTTTATTTGGAGGAAGAATTCAGTGTTTTACAGCTATGACATGGACTACTGGCATGATACTGGGATCCAGCACTGCTGCTTTAATAGTAAAAGTTTATTATGCATGTTTTTTTACTCTACAATGTATCTGTTTGTTCGCTGATAACTTTTTCTTCTCCAATAAATTAGATTTATCTTTTTGAAATGATGTATTTCGTGTGATCAAGTCATTGCACTGTGGCTTTTTATTTTCTGAACGATCTCGCCTTGACTGTATATTTGTTATTGTACTGTATATAAAACAATGCATTTAGGCTGGGTTAGATCTTTGACCTGTTGTACTGTATGTACGTTGTTTTTTTCTTCAAATGTTATGACTGTAAATAAAAGTGTGATGATACACGTCTTTAGTTTTCATTGTTTGTGGATTATCAATCCCAAACTTAAAGGCAGGTCAGCAGGAAAACTGATATCAGATTATAATGGGTAGTATTAATAACTTTAACCAGTCAGACACACATTCATAGTGCAGCAAGTAGGTACTGAAGTCATTCAGAGCTACAGAGCGCTGTAGTTTCTACCCACAATCCATCACTCTGATGGACAACAATCCCTGTGACTCAAACACCCACTGTAACTATAAATTATTTATTTCCGTTGTTTAAATTTAGTTTCTTTTAAAACATAAATATCATCACTCAAAACACACCTATGCATCTTGTGCACATTGTATATTCGGTCATATCCACCTACCTCATGTACACAAAACAAAACTGTACAACAATATTTATTCCAGCATCCTCTGCACCGCTGTCTTACTGTCTACACATGTTGTTGTTGTTGTTGTTGTTGTTTATGTGTCAAACTCCTTATGTGTACACATACCTGGCCAATAATTCAGCTGCAGAAAGGTTTCGCGCATATCCGGGACTTTAAGTACAAAGACCAGAGGAAAAACGAGGGACTGGAGAGAAATACTACAAAATACCCGAGTTTCTGTTGAGGTCTGATTGAACTCAAACGCACACATGGTCAGTGGGTCGGTCGCTAACTACATAACTTTAGTGCAGATGGTGCTTCGGCTGTTCGACACGAATAAACACAGCGATTAAAGTCTCACCTTCAGACTGTAGTGGGTACAGTGGTTACAATATAATAATACAATAATTCACAGCAGCCACGTCAACATGAAATAGTAAGGTAATCACAGGTGTCAATGATACTAATTAAGGCCGCATTCCATTTAGTGTAGCAGAGCATTACCAGTGACAACACATGACAACAGTAACACTGACTCCTGAATGGAAATTAACCATAATTAGTGTCATTGCAAACACCTGACTACCCTACTATTTAATGTCAAAATGGCTCCTGTGAATATATTTATATATATATTTATATATATGCATGTCTGATCTAATACTTTTTTATATGATGATATTTCACTCAAGACCACAATTGTGCCACTAAGTCATTAAGTTACATCATCTGGGGTCTATAATATTCCCTCTGCTGCTCTTTGTGAGGTTTAATACGTTTTTCCCTATTTGAACTGAAGGATAGAGATTGCTGTGTGTTCAGATTGTAAAGCCTGTTGGGTCAAACTTGTGATATTAGACTATATAAATATAATATATAAAGTCAACTCAACCTCCCAGATACAAATATCCAGAAGAAATAAAAACACAGGAACCCATCATGATCTGTTTACCTTTTATTGTTACACAGTAGTTTACTGGCACCAATGTATCGTGGTTTTCCTTTTGCTACATTTACAGATGATCTATCCATCTTCACCTCACAGTAAATAAAAATAAATAAATACAAAATAAACACATTTTCTGAAAAGAGGTGGGTGTGGGGTAACAGGAATCAGAAACAGAGGCCCAGTTTCAAACTGATCATTTCAGTGTTCATTCTTTTGTTCTAATGGAAACATTTGTTTGTACCAACTGTTTATTTTTTTTGTTTTGGCAACTTTGCACTTCAAGAATTCCCAGAAAGCCAAGGCCTGCAGAAAGCCCGTATACTGTGTAGAAGCACTAACATGGAGATATAAAGTCAAGAGCTTTGTCAGGTTTATGAAGTCGGAGAGTAGAAGGCAATATTACATTTGTATTCAGAGGTCCAATCACTGATTACAGAGGAAATACCCCATTCAGCTTCAAACAACATGATCTTTATCATCAGGTGGGCAAATAAAGCTCAATACAGTACATGCTGGTCAGAAACTATTGCTGCTATAGCTGGTGCTGACCAGGTGGTGGCGATACAGAGTATTTCTACACAGTTCATCCTTCAGCATATTGCAGTGTGTGTGGATCACCAGTGGAGGGTGCTACAGAGTATTGTCAGTCAAAGTAACAGCATTTTCTACAAAATGCCAAAATTGATAAAGTGCAGTAGACAATTATTTTTTTTTATTACTACCATCTAAAAATGCCAATTCAATAAACTACTAGAAATGAGTTCATGAACTGGATGTCAAGCAAATCTATCACTGGACACAAATCTAAACTTGTTACTGATTCATTACATCTGAATATTTTTACTATTACATAATGAATCAAAGCTTTGTTAGTGTTCCTTGTTTTGTCGTCTCCATTTTTTAATGTATGATGGAACAGTTCAATTTCGACCTGTGAACTTCTTCTCTACACTCTCAAGTGGACGCTGAGCAGCCAATGAAGTAAAAACAACTGGACATTAGTTTAATAAGAGTGAGATTGGTTACTGCTTGTGCTTTACTGAGTCTGTTTTACTCCACAAACCAACAGGGTGGTCCGGAGATAAACCAGACTACTAAACATCTCCTAAAATATCTTATTTACGATTAAGACAATTTACTCTATGCATAAATCAACTTTCATATCATATGTCAACAGGGAACACTAACACTTTTCAAATCAGTGCACTAGCATGATCAGCAATGCGTCAGTACTTACGACGTGACGCCTCAGTTTTATCAACATGCAGTCCTACAGTAGCTCGTACAAAAATCAGATTATAACAAAAGATAAAGAATAAATTAAATCATTTCTATGTGTATCGTAAACAAATATGCTAACATCTATTTACAAAAAGTATACATTGTAATGAGCTGCCTTTGTGATTTGTTGAAACTCACGATAGCGGACAGACCAGGCTCTCACAGTTAAATGTCTGACGTGGTTATTACTTGTGAAAGAGATGTTTGTCTTGTAGTGTTGAGCAAGAAGGAAAATGATTTGTGGCATGCGAGAACATTACATCTGAGGAGGACGTGGTGATCGTTGCTCAGTATCAGTGTTATAAAAAGGATTTGTTAACAAGCTTCCAGACTGGATCAGTTTTCTCTGCTATTGCTCAAACATGTTAGGAAACATGCTAAAGAACACATATATTGCCTCAGCAAACTGAAACAAGCAGCTATCTGGAAGGAGAGACGCCGTTTATATTTGTCTCCGTTAAATCTGCAGGTAAAGCAAGCGCTTTGCCTCGAGACCCAACCAATATCTTAAGTTCAACAGTAACTTGCCGATAAAAACCTAGTGTCAATATAATGAACGGTGACGTTTGCCTCACATAACGGTTACAGTATCTAAGTGTAGACAGTAGTAATGTGTATCGAAGCCATTAAGAGTACCATAGGAAGCAATGAGCACATCTCAGTAATCTGAAATCATTTCCCGCTGCCGTATCTTTGTGACTTAAATGGATTCCTCCATCCCATCTGATCAACACTGACTGAAAACTAAGTGTCTGAATAGTGAGTTCACATTTTGTCTGGTGTAAAGCACAATCAAGGCAGTTTCTCTTTTAAGCAGCATCAATAAATATGAAAGAAGACTTCATGAGAACTGAAGCTGCTTGCTACCCCTGAATAAGACCATATTCACACTAATGCAGATCGATATTCAAAAGATAGCCGTTCAGAGGATTCTGGTCCACACTAGCATTCCTCAGAGTGGTCTAGAAGTCCGCTGTACATATTGAAAAGGCCAAAAGAGAAATATCCAGCCAGCAGTCTTACACGTTTCTGCTGAGCAACTGTCTGTGGAGTTTCAAGAATTGTTTGTGGTTTACAGCGGAACAGTGAAGAGGGAAGTAGGAATGAAAAAGGACAATCATAACATTTTGAAATCCTCCATTTTCCCTGTGTTTGCAGATTTGACCACATACATTTTTTGAGAAGTTGTCCGATTGTGAATGAAAGGGCAAAACATTAGTGTGAATATGGTCTGAGACCGGTTTCACAGTTCACTTAAATGCTGAACGCGAGAGGAATGTGGTGAGACGATGGGACAGACGGTGTGCTCTGGCTGTGGTGTGTCGGGTTGTGTAGAACAGCAGTAGTGTAAGAACCAAGAGAAGAGGAGGCAGCCAGAGTGCTCTTCACTCTGAATGTGATAAAAACGTATGAAGAGGTGGTGAGGAGGATGGATGAGAAAACGTGTGTCCAGTGTTGGAGGGAGAGAGGAGAAGGACAAAGGAAGACAGGGAGAGAATGGAGGGAGTAATCTACGGTTGTTCCTCTTTCTTCTTCAGGGATATACGTTTCTTCCTGGCTGCGAGCATTTCGTAGAAGGGGTCAACACTGACAGCAGATCTGTATATGTGACAAATAAACATCAATGAGTGATTCAAAAAAGGTAAATAAACCATCCAGACAGCAGTTAGGAAATTAAATTAAGATTACCCAGCAGGCAAAAATGTCTCACTGCTCTAACTACGACCATCACTGGTCCATTTACATACTTTATGCTGTGGATCCATTCGTCCTTCTCCTCGGGTGTGGGGGCGGAGATACGGTAAACCATGTGGTTTCCTTCCACTACTCGCCCATCAGCCTCCGTCTTACACGCCTTAATCAGCTGACCGCGGTTGTTGGGGATGTACAGCTCGAAGCAGTTCTGTTGGGAGAAAGGCAAAGACCGTTGGATAAACAATCACAATGTACAATAAACTGAAAAATTAATAATATAAGAAGTAAATGGCTCAATACTGCTCTGCAAAAAGGCAACACTTACAGGTTTTCTTGGGTCTTCTACCTCACGGATGCTAAGGTTTTCCAAGGGAATAATACCTCGCGGTTCCTTATCCTGTTAGTGAAACACACAATCACAGCAGATTAGAAGAGAAGAGCTGCAACATGCAGTTTTATTCTGTGTTTTACAGGAATTTGAAAGTGCAACAATGAACAGAAACCAATCTCAGCTTTATTTCTGTACAAACTGGGTCAACTATAAGTACTTTCAATGGCAGCTATTTACACTGAAAATATTAATCAATTCATTCCTAAAATGAGAAACTCAGTTACAGCTGAAATTAATCATCATCTTCTTAGTTAGATTACTTACAACTAGCTTCTCAGAGATCAATTGTATATTTATTGTTTCGCTTTTTAATGCCTTTTAGAAAATGTGTTAGTATTGAAATGGCAGTTTGTCTTTGATAAGTCATCTCTTGTGACCAGCCTGACTTGTGTCTCTTTCGTTTTTACTGTACATGGGCAACCAAACCTCTGGGGATTAATAAAGTTATGCATCTAATCCTTGAGTTCAGTTACCAACCTCCTTGCAGAAGTACATTATTACTAAAGTTTTCCAGCAGCATTGAAATTCCCACACATACCACATTTTACTGCAAGATAACACAACAATGTCATGAATTTTAATGCAACTTGCTCTGAAAACCCAACGTAAACACAACACCTTCATGTTAGGACATTTTAATGCACTAGATAAATAAAGGCACAACGATGTTAAATGTTGCATGTGGACACAAAGACTTACTGTAGTGTATTCAAAGTAATAAAGGCAGTTGTCTGTGAGAATGAACCATCGCCTTTTCCAGGTTTTCACTCGTCCCCCTGAAGGAAAGGAGCACAGCCACAACGATGAGTGTGGAGGAGGAAAAAGGTTCCCTTTGGGGGGGTAAAAGCTCTACAATCTCTACGAGCTTACAGCTGCCTACATGGCTAATTATTATTACAAGTATGTAACTACAACAACTCTGTCAGTACATACCTCCTGAGAAAACAAGCAGCGGCAGTAGAGGGTGGAAATCACAAGGAAGGAGACAAAAGGGACCAGAGGATTTAGAGGAAGACGGGGGCAAATAGAGAAAGAGAGAGACAGATGGGGTGGAGGAAGAGAAAGAGAGGGAGATTATATTAGTGACACAGAGATCACAGGCCCCGCCATGCAAAAGAAAACAATCAGATTTTTAGACTGCTGTGACGCAAGAAAGTGAGTCTCTTGTCATGCTATGGCAAAGTTCAAATGCCACAACACGGTGAGCTGACAATTCAAGTGAAGGCAAAGAGCCAGCACACCTCAGAGACAGGTAGGCAGATTCATCATAGCACAAAGCCATAAAAGAGCACAGTGGCACACAAATCACTTTCTGATCTCAATGGAAATGTACATGTTCTGACATATGCAGCACTGACATACTGGATTTGTTTAATTGTACGAGATCAGTGTTAAAGCCAACATGTAGAAAAGCAAAGCAGACAGTCCTCGATGGCATCATCTCACCAAGTTTAAGAAGCCAGCCCTCTCTGTCGGGGTTGAAGAAGGTGTGCGTCAGGTCGTTGCCGTCGTCCTCAGGGATCTTGAACGGCTCGTTTTTAATGCTTTCGTAGAGATTCTGGAATTACAGATAAGACAGTAAAATTAGCTCACTATAATAGCTTTACTAGATTCATTTTAACTCCAAAGAAAAGCAACGTAGAGTTTTATCTTACTCTGAGCAGGTCCTCAGGCAGGTCTCCCCCCTCGTTGATGCCTCGGTTCATCGAGATGAAACGGTCCAATCCGGGTTTGTCTCTCACATTCGGGTTATGGAGACTTGTGTTCAGCATAATGATGGCAAATGACAGCACGTAACATGTGTCTGCAAACAGGAGAGGCATGCGAGAGAATACAGCAGCGTTGAGTTTGGTTCTGAACCAAGATATAATTTAATAATTTAACAAATTAAACTTAATATCAGAAAAGAAAACCAAAAACAATTGTTTTTGATCCTGATTAAAATAAAAACAATGTTCTACTACTGTCAAACAATTTGAGGAAATATTTACTGAAAACAAAAACACAAGAGGGTTTTACTGAAAAGCAGTGTTTATGAATTGGCAGACTTTGTAGGCTCACAGGTCATTTCTGGTAACTGGCTTGTTGTTTGCCTGAGTGCCCACCTTCTGGGAAATGTGTCTTCCTGTGATCCATCGTAGGAAAATTAAGTTTGATTTAAGGGGACAGCTCCCAACAACACACAGAAGTCAAAACAATCTACATCAGGTACAATAGGAAGGGTACACTGCCTATTGTACATGAAATGCTGAGTAATTGTTAGTTTTTGTTTACCAGTGCTCTGGAAGACGCCGGGGTTGCAGTGGCAGTATCTCTGAGCAAAGGCCTCCATCATTCTGTCAATCTTCTGGGCTTCACCAGGCAAACGGAAACTCCACAGGAACTGTCTGCAAAAAACAGGTCGAGGTTTAGGTCAAGTCAGAGAGAACAAATTCTGCAATCAAGACAGACGTTTACAGTCACTACTGCTCTCTTATACAATTATTTCCCTCCCTAACCTGATTTAACAATGAGAGTGGGACTTTCCATTGTCCAGAAGGCTATGCCACTATTCAAGAGATATTGTCCTTGGTTCAAAACCAAAAAAACACTGCAAACACACAGTTTACCTGAGGGCCTGGACGAGGTTGAGATCAGTGAACTCGTGGAGGTCAACGAAAGCCTGAAGAACTTTAATGTTGAAGTCATCCCTGCAAAACAGCCCGAGAGAGAGAGAGAGAGAGAGAGAGAGAGAGAGGTTACAAATAGCTGATACACAAGGAGAAAAGGGACAAAAAGGTATTTTGAGACTAAGCACCTTTCTCCAAGGTAATCTCCTATAGCAGTCTTGTTGAGGCCCTCTCCTTTGTAGAGGAACTGAGCGATGTCCTCTGGAGTGTGTCTGAGCAGGTCATTCTCCACCAGAAACACAATGCCCTGCAGAGAGAGGGGAGAGTCCGTCACCACACAGCTAAGAAAGAGTGACGAGCAGACACATGCAAGTATTAAAGAGTTTTACCTTTTTGGGGTCCATGTTGAATTTCTTCCTTCCCATTGCCACATGCCTGCTTTTCTGTAGAGTTTTACTGCAGGGAGAAAAAATGTAACATGTAAGAAAAAATGGCTTTTGCAGCATTCAAGTCACATTTATTTGACAGAAAAGTTCAAAAACTGTTTTCCCATGTCATCGTTCAATTTATTAAACCATAAAAAGCTGAAATAACATCACTTTAGACAATTGTTAAACAATAAAAAGGCTATTTATTAAAAGGAAACAATATCCATCAATGACAACACTACAATATCAACACTTGTATTAATAGTTTGACGCATTAGGTGATGTGAGAGGAGGAGCAAGCACTGCAGTAAAATCCAATCTGACATGTTTGTAAAAGCTGTTAAACATATGCTGAAAACGGTGATGTGAGCAAACACCAGTAAAAGTGCTTCATTGGTTTGATAACGACCACAACAGGCAGCAACTACAAGTGGTGATGGATTGGGAAACGGTGATTGGTCGATCAAAGCCAACTCAAAGTCATTTTGTTCGTGCAAAACACCAAATCCAACATTGTTTGGAGTAAAGTATCAATGTTACTGTGCATTTTCTTCTTACCTGCCCTCTGTGCTGGTCTCCAGTCCCTCCACCTCCAATATTGCCTCTCTTAATTCCTCTCTGAGTCTCTGGATCTCCTGCAGCAGGACGCCCTTCCTCCTACGGATGTCCTCCAGCTCAGAGCGCTCCTCTGGGCTCAGGTCTACTGGGACTGTAAGGGAAGAAAGAAGAATGACTATTACTGCTGCTGCTGCAGATATAATAAATGGTAGCTGTGCCCAAACAACCTAAGGCGGACTTATTAATAACATAAAACCCCATCAAATACAACTATTTTGAGAACAATATTGTTACTAAACTTGGTTATGACTAAATCCTCCTGTCAATATCTTACAATAGAAAGGAGTGGGGGAAGTGGGATTGTAACAGAAGTTACTGAAGTTAGCAAAGTGCACATAAAACATGTAATGGAAAAGCAGTGGGTGAGGACGTTAAGACAAAAGCTTCTTTATTTTAATCAGAATCAGAAATACTTTATTGATCCCCGGGGGGAAATTTGTTTGTTACAGCTGCTCAAACAGTGTTAAAGAATAGAAATTATATTTATATTACAATATCTAACACAATATATGTAGAATAGACATACAAGTTAAAAAAATAAAATAGAAATATAATAAGAGCCTAAATCAGAGTTATTACACATTCATATATTTTGACACATTTTCCTCCTTCCTTATCCCTCCTCACTAACGTCTGCTTATTGCACCAATCTGTGAAAATAACACTGAAAATCCTCATCTTATGGTCTGTCGTTGCAATATAATGTATGAGAGCATTAACTCTGCTCCAGTTACTCTACTAATATAGCAGACACCAACACAGACAGAGGAACAATGCTTCTGTAAAACTCAGTCAGACAAGCAGATTTAAATTAAAGACGCCCGTCTGAAACACAGATACACTACAACACCTAAGAGTGAGAAACATCTGTGGTTTGGTCCTAAAAGTGTAAAGATATTTCCCTGTGGTATTGAGCCCTGGTGAGGAGAGTTCAGCCACCACCACAATAGAACAAAGGTCAAAGCATTTTTATTTGTGTTACTCAGAATGAGCCGTTTTCATTGCAACTACTAACGAGTAAAGTATTCCCTATAAAAAGAGCTCACAGTCAGGTGTTCTTATATTTAGACTGAACGGCATTGTGTTACTCCTCCATCATTCACTTGATAAAAGAACCAAAGCTCTCTAAACAGACTAATGCAACATGGTGCTGTGCAAGTAAAATGTATTTAGTGGATGTTGGCATAAGGATTAAGTACACTTTATATTATTTATGACATGAAATCCTTGACAGAAGCAAAAATATCAAAACAGTTTTAGGGATGTAACTAAATATGACATTAAAATGGAGGACTGGGTGATATATTGACTTATTAACAAGACATTTCAGCAATGATAAAATCATCTTCACAGGGTTCATCAAGTTATTTTAGTTTGTTATTTGCAATACACTTGATTATGTTATTCTTGTAATTATTCAATCATTCTTTGTCTTAAACTCCTTACTATTTCATTTCTGTCAGCACATATATGTACATATGTTTACATTTAGAGTTACTTTGTATATAGACTCTTATTATCTTATTATATCTCTTAGGCTCTTATATTTCTATTCCCATGTATATTTCTAATATTTTACTTACTTATATGTGTAGGTATACACATGGATACATACATTCATATTCTATATATTGTGTTAGATATTGTAATATAGGCATTATTTCTATTCTTTAACATGTGAGTAGAACAACTGTAACAAACTATTTCTGATTCTGAAGTTACAGTTTCTAGAGTCATTTGCCAAAACTTCCTCTACTGTTTGCTCAACATATCAAGTGACATTTAAAAAAAAAAAAAAAACCTGCAGAACTACAGCCTCCAAACCATAAACCATGGCCCGAAAGTTTGAATCAACATCTCTCTATTAATTCAAACATTATAAGTCTAAAAGGTGGGTGTATTGCAGTGATGTTAAACTAGATTAACCTAATAAACTGCCCATTAAATATAACACTATGTCCGATGTTAGACGTATTTTGCACCAAATATCATTTTGATCAAACCACTCAGATCTGATCTGAGCCTCCCAGAAACATTGTTTACTCTGCAAAACAAACAGCTGCTGTAAACCAGCACCAACCACGCCCACAGTCTGGATTAAATGTACAGTCGGATTCATGCTACAGCAGCCAGTGGACCGACAACCTGAGCTGGATGGTTCCGGCTGTACAAGCAATGCCCAATGTTAACAATCCCTTGTGTAACTCGGAGGCTGATGAGGCTGTTAAATGCCCACCGACGTTAGCTGACATGTTAGCACCGAGCACACAGTGAAGTAATCAATACTGAGTTGGCGTCAGGTTGCGTTAATGCACCTTCAGGGCTTATTTTAACTCGAATGTGGTTTCCTTGCACACGCGTACTTTTTCGTAAATAGCGGTAAAAGCTGCATGTTCAATCCTTTTCATTGAGACGTTCAACGCAATGATCAGCGTGTCACACCTGAGCACAGAAAGTAGCCACAGTTAGCTCGCGGTAGCCATCAGTAAACACACTTACTGTAGTCCAGGTCGTCCATTTTTGGCGCTTTACTTTTAGGCATAAATATTTCAGAGTCGACTGTCATTCAATATCAGAAAACAAAGGGATATATGTGTAAATATATCCTCAAAACTAAAGGGAAAAAAACAGACAACCCCTGGTGTCGAAATGTTGGGCCGGAGACAAAGAAGGTGGCGACACCGGAAGCGGTGTCAGACTTTCGGGTAGTCTACTTCCGGTCAGTTGTTTTTCAAAATAAAACCAGTTATATTTAGTAATAATGAAGTTGGACACAAAGACATAATATCAGTTGGGCTGCTAGTATTTGGTGAAACAGCGATAGGTTGGTGTTTAATTTATTTAATGTTCACTGTGCTGTTCATAAACCTTACTCAGTTTATAGATTTTATAAGAAATACTTTAAAGTATCTGATTGTTTGCAGATAGCTGCACGCCACTCTAAGGGGCACTAAGAGGATATTCTAATAAAGATATAAACATTTAATATATATCTCATATTAAATATATAGATAGATTTTTATTTTTTTTTATTCTAATGGCATAACTGTTTGCTCTATTTTATACCTGTCCTATATATGTATATATGTATCATTTCTTATACCCACATTGTTAAGATTATATTATACCTGTACTGTATATTCATAGCCCTATATTTATAGCCTGCTATTAATGTCCTGCTGTGACCTGTGCAATTCCACATCAATCACATCTGTATATAAAAAAAAGTGTATAAAATATACATAACATAACACATAACTCTTGTATTTGTTCTAATCTATTTTCATTTAATGTATATTTTCCTATTTATTGTGTTGTGCTGTATCTGGAGCTCCTGTAGCAAGTGAATTTCCACAGTGTGGGATCAATAAAGTCTATCTCATCTTCAAAATTAGATTTTTTTTATGTAAAAATAGTAATTTTATAAAAAAAAGCCAAAGGCATGAAATACAAAAGTCAAAAAGGACAGTGAGACATGCAGAGAGATTACAAATCTTTCAAATTAATCCATTTGGTCTATTTGACAAATGAATCTATATTGTTGAGCTTTTGATGGTCTGAACTCGCAGATGAATTTTGCTCAGTTGTCATGTAACGGCAGATTGTAATTTTTCTGAGTGCTTTCAGGACTTCTCATCCATGTTGACTCAAAAGGTTTGATCGAAACAGCAGCTGACAAAACAATCTCACCTGAAGATCTATTTAGTAGCTGTGCTGGAGGTTTTGATTCCAACTGAGCAAATCTATCTGCAGAGGAAGTTTGTGTGACACTTTACTATAACTATATTGTTTTTTTTCTAAACCACTAGTAACATTCCCTAAATGCTGATACAGTAGATGAGAGCATATCTACATTACAACTATCTACATGTTTTTAATTGTCTGCACATTCATTAACACCACCTTGGTGAGGGGTTAATTTCCTCTGGGACCACGTAACCTAAAAATATATTTACTCAGGGGACGTTGGTTAAAAGCTGAGCCCACATGCCCACACAGTGAAGAAGAAGGGAAATCCCAAAGGAACAATTCACTGGAATGATAAAACTGTTGATTGAGAAGAGCGGAGGCAAACTAAGTTTTAATCTCTGGGATGTAGTTTAAACAATACCGTTTGATATCAGAAGATTGTGACTGATAAAAGCAACTTCCTTCTGTTGATATCACATGAACTGTATTATGTAAATGAGAAGACACATTGATGTGACAAAAGTATAGCATATTTGCTCCAGACAAACTTATCAAGTTACATTTATTCAAAACCATATAGAACTATTAACTGTACATTGTATATGTATATATTTTCATCATTTTAGTAATAATTACAATTTCATTACAGGCAGTCCACTACAGACATCTTAATGGCATTATCAATTGAGGGGTCATACCCCAACATTGTCATATCAAATTGGTCTATAACACCATGGTGTGGGTTATGGCCATAGACGACAAAATGTTTAGGCAGGTAAACTGTCATAACTAGTCTCTTAAACATCAAGAGTAAACATTTTGGCAAAAACTCCATTCAAAGTGTATATAGATTCTTCTATTTGGTGATGTTACAAGCCTAGACTCAAAATGTATTCACCTTCTGTAGCTGTGTAAGCACAGTGTAATTGTGGTAGACTAGCTGCATTGTGCGTCAAAGGTTAAAAAAAAAAGAAAAAGAAGTAAAATAACAGCCTGGTGAGCAAAGAGTTTTACTCCATTTTCTGCAGTCAGGTTTGAACAGTTCATGATCAACAGCCAGAATTTACAGGCTTATTACACAGAGGCATTAATTTATCCTGGCATGACCAGGACATACAGTATGTTGATGATGACCCAAGCAGTCGCCACATGATCTTACTGATTGATACACTGCACATGCTAATGATTTATCCTTTGTCAAGACTGAGTATATCAGCAGGTTTTATCATAACATTAAAAAAAACCCAAACACCACAATTCCTAGTAGGGCTCCCATGTCTGCTGTTTGATTTCACTTAGGAGCTCATCGTCATTTGGAAGTACTTATCCCATCCGTCTGATTTATCTCTTGATCAAAAGTCTGATGTGACAACACAGAGCTGCTAGATTTTAGTGTTCTACCTCTGTTTGTCTCTACAGCCGGATTTTAAAGTGTCTAAATGGTATTGTGATCAGTCAGTCCTACCTTTCAGAAGCTATGAAAGTTCTCAAATTGAGACATTTAATTCATTTCAGACTATGAATGTAATGTAATCCATTTATTAAAGTCTCTTGACTAGGCTATTAATACTATGTTAATAGTATTAATAGCCTAATTAATATATGTGCATCCATTTCTAGAACATATATGCATCTTAAAGTTAATATGCATTCTAGTGTTGTGATCTTTTCTGCTTCCGCTCGTTATTGTGCAAAATGAATGCACTACTTCCTTTTTAACAGAGGCATGTAATGACCTCTTTGCTTTCAAAGATGATTACTCAGAAATAGTGATATATTCTAGACATAAAAGAGTGCTGAGGGCTAATATGTGTGATTCTGAAACATTTCTTGAAAATGAACAGTCTAACACCACTGACAAAGAAGCTTGCTTCGTTCAGATATTTTTATATTCAATATGCTGCAAAGTCTGATATCATTGACATCATCATGTATCCACTGGCTAAGAAAAACTGGCAGATTATGTAAAAATGTCAGTAATGGTTACCGTTCAACGGTTCCATTGCGCCCACTAATGTAATGACCCTGAAAAGCTTGATCTCACTGCTCTGCATTGAGTCACTTGCATGAAAAAAATGGTAATTAAAGTGTACATTTATACACATTTTTCTCCACTGATGAACAGTGGAGAGTTGCGTGCTTGAAGATAACAGTAGATAGGTGGGTCTACCAGTATATTCACGTGGTGGACGGACTCTCTGATAGGTGGATAGAGATTACGAAGATTTGGGTTTCTTATACAAGTAAGAAAGATTAATGGTACAACTGTACTGTCCAGTGTCAGATAAGGCATTACTTTCAGGGACGGACGTTTTTATACTCCATTATTTTGACATGAAGGTTGAAGATTGAGGGTTGGGACACATTTTAATGTGCTATTTGCCCAAGTGAATGTCAATCTATTTTTATAGATTTTCATGTTTAAGAACAACTTTCTCTGAATTTAATCTGATTTCTCTCCATCTCATTGAAAGGCAACAATCAGGTAGTGCTTCTCTGCATGCATACTACTATGTATACATCCAACACATGCACTATCTGCACAAAAAAATCCATAAACATTCGATTGTTCTTCCCTCTTATTATCCCAGGCTGTGCAGTTTTCATGCTTCTCAGGGTACGCGGAGCGCAATCCAACAGCTGTGCAATGAGGCGCATTTTTCATCCATTTTCAAATTTGCTATTAATCCCTGCAGTCATGCTCCAATGATGCGTGGCTTCGTGGGTTATCCCTTTCATTAAACCCAAGAAAAGCAGTTTCTGCAATCCAGGCTATTTTAAGTCTCTTAGATACCCCCCCTCTGTTTCAGAGTATAGATGACAACAGAGATTACATAATTCAGTAGAGTGGTGTATCTTTCAATCAGATCAACCAATCCCTGATTAGAATCTGGTAATCTTCACTCCAGAGTCACCAACGATGAGACGAGCCATGGAAGGATGAACCTGTGAAATATAGAGAAAAAAAACATCATTACCAGTGAAAAGTTTACAGTAACTCATTAACACAATTTCACGGCATTAATACTAGAGATCTACAGCACATCTGCTAAAGATACAGCACGTGTCTTTACTAGCTGGGAAAAATAACCGTGTCACTGTCAACCATGTTAACAAATTTAAAAGTTATTCAGCACAATATACAGCTTTTCCAGAGGACATAAACTAGATGGTACAATGACCTGGGAAATAATCAGTCTCTATTCAATTAGTAAACAGTGATTGATTCTGATTGACTACAAGGCAGAAATACTGCCACTGGCAAAGCATACTGCAGTTACATGAGCATGTGCTTTGTGTATGGGTGGTCCTGGAGGGAACCCTTAACTTCAGTGTCAAACCCTATCTAATCACATACAGTTACTACACTCAGATTACAACACACGTGACAAGCATATCCATTTCCAAGCACCATTTTCCCTCTTTCTGACCTGCGCCTGAAGTGGTCCATAGGGCACCAGTTCTCCATCCACAGTGAGTGTCCCCCGTGTAGATAGAGGCTGCAGCCTGAAGGCCCTGCAGGTAACGTGGCTCACGTATGGCGAGCTGACGGAGTGGTGAGTTCCTCTTTCCATGGCAAAGAACAGTCTCAGCAGAGTGGCTCTGGAGATTCCCGCCCGCACAAAGGTCAGGTGGATCAGCCCGTCGTCAAACCTGGCCTGGGGTGCAGCATGAAGATCAGCCCCAAGGTGGGTCTGATAAAGGGCCAGGACCAGGACAAAGTCCCCTTCAATGGTGACCCAGTCTCTAGTGGGAAGGGGTTGGTCAAGGGGGGGTAACAAGTCATCTCTAGGGAGATTTAAAGGCAGTGAGAAAGGACGGTTCTTTTGGGGTCCTGCTGGCTCGGCAATGTCAAAGTTAAAAGATGAGGACGGTGTGCGTAGAGACGGTGAGGGCGATGTGGAATTTGGGGTGTTGGGACGGGGGACGAGGTAGGATGAGGAGTGTGGGGAGGCACATGAAGGGGAGGAAGGCGGTGTGGGAGAGAGAGACAGG